AGATGCTCAACAAATCTACTTCTCCCTGGAGACACGGCCAAACAACATTTCCTAGTCCTCACAATGGAATGTGCCTGATGTGATTGCCAAGACAGTTAAGCATTGCGTGCCCTCCCTACACTCTCTCCTCCTTCCAGAGCAATCTTGAAAGCTGGAATTTGAAGATGGCAATTGAACAAGATAAAAGGAGGCTGGACCCTTGAGCAACTGCAAGGACAAGCACCTTACCATGATGGACTGCCATGTGAGCGAGTCACTAATTAAGCCAGTGAAATTTTGAGGATGTTTGTTAAACAGTTAGCTTATCCTGACGATTCATTCCACTGTGAAGATAGTATGCAGTCAATCAGAATTTTAAAGAACATGAAGATGACAGATATTCTCAGTCCCTTTTCTAATACCCGTCCCCCTTTGTTCTTTGCTATTAACACCCCAATTTTGTTTTGGGTGCTAGTGCACACAGCTCCAGGTGAAGGATTCTGATTGGTCTAAGCTCACCCTGAAAATCCTGTTCTTCACCTTTCTAGCCTTCCCCGCAGTGAGGGATGGCCATGCAGCCCAGTTCAGCTAAGAGACCTAAGGGAAGTGTATTTCAGGGGTTTCTGGGAAAGGTGTTCCTTCCCTGATAAAAGGGGACCTGCATGGCTGGCATCCTCCCTTCTTCCCTCTCCTTGACTCAAACAGGGACCTGCATGACTGGGGCTGCATTCTGAACTAACATAATAAACGCATTCTGAATATAACATATTGACCAATGCCATAAATTTATGGGCTGATATGGGATATGCAAGAAATGAAGAGTGCATGCTCCATCTAAAGGCATTCAAAGATCATTTTTTATTTAAACATTGACATGACAAAATAAAGGCCTCAAGGGGCCCACGGCCACTCAGTTCATGAAATTTGAAATATAAAGGCCTAATAATTTAACACTAACCCTTAATTTTTTGTCCTCGTCTATTGAAGACAGAACATGTTTCTCTCTCACACTTTCCTGGTGTGCTTCTTCAAATCAGTGTAATGTACCAGCTAATAGCTCAGGCTTTGGAGTCACACTGCCTGGATTCAGATCCCAGCTCTGGCACTTGCTGTGTGAACTTAAACAATAGTAAAGTTCTGTCCATCTTTTTCATTACTAAAATGGAGAAAATAATAGCATGTGCTTCTAAGGATGGTGATAAGAATTAAATGACACGATCATTATACAGTACTTAGCAGAGTGCTTGGCAGATAACACAATAAATATAAGCTTTTATTTGTATTATCTCCAAATTTCAGGCACACAGCTTCAAGTAAGGAAATAATCTGCTGTCTGTAGGGGACGGGGGAGGGTTCTTTGCTTCCTATGGGTGTAAGTGTGCTTTATGTTCAGGGCCTCCTGCTGAGTAAACTAAAGAATAATTAGGGTTGCCCGACAGCCTTTGGACTGCTTGAGTTTTAAGCAGGGTTAAAATAACATCACAGCTAAGTTGTTTTAAGTAAAGGATTAGAGTCAATGACTAAGAGTCAAGGGCGAGATGAGAGGGGACTCTGGAAGAGTGGGCTGTGTGTTGACTTCCTGTCCCTGTGGACTCTGGAGCCTCACTCCACACAAGATGATAAAGAGAAGAGAGCAAGTAATAGCCACAGATGATAATCCCAACAGCCGTGGTAGGCCAGGCTGCCCTCCCAGCACTCCATTCACGTCCCCCAGCCTTCTCCAAAATGGATTACTCACCATTACAAGAGAACAGCCCACGTTTTTCTGCCTCCACATCTCTGCTCACGCGATTCCCTCTCTTTCGTGAAAAACCTACCAACCTGTCTCTGCCTGTCAAAACTCTATTCATTTCTCAGTCTAGCGTAAATACCTCCTCTTTCAAGATAACATCTTTAATTTTCCCTCTCAAATTAGTCTCCCTGACTTATCTGAACTCTTACTGAGCTTCATTCATTAGAAAAACATTTTTCAAGTACTTACTATGACCTTGGAGTTATCCCACATGCTAAGGGGACATGGTCTTGAACCTTTGGGAATAGTTTAATGGTCATAATAAATAGAATTTATTTGTACCTTCTCTCTTCCCCAACAAGATGTGCACTGGCTTAAAATAAGAGATATACACTGTGTAACAGAATAGGAAAAGAAAATTTAGGTCTAGAAGAGAGAAGAAATCAAATATACTAACCAGTAAATATATAGTTCAGCATCTAATGTAGCTCCTGGGCAATCAGGGTAAACAAAAAGAGGAACACATGATCTTTTATCACAATATTCTCTTATCAACAGAGAAGAAGATGCATACCAGTTCCTCAGGGTAAATAAAATTTATCCCTCACCCTAAAGTATCATCTACTTTCTCCCTTCCAATGTTACAGAGGTTTCAAATAATTATATTTCAATGTCAAAACTGCTAAAAAGAGGCATGTACAATATGCCAGAGGATACAAACTAGTTCACTAGATTTCAAACTCCTTAAATGTGAGTACTACATTATTAATAACAATAAAGACAATAATACTAGTATATTGAAGGGTAACTCACCAGAACACCATCCTAGATCTCTTTTTCAGACTTAAGCCTAAATAGTATGCAAGGATTTAAATGAATATGTCACAATACAAAAAAAATACACATCCCATGGAGATGAAACATAATGTTGAGTCAAATAATAAAAGTCTATTTATTTTTATATCTCCCTACAGTGGACATTACATTGCTACTAGTAAATAATTCCCTCCCACTTAAATTGAGTCTGATGTGAGTTTGGCTAAAGGAAAATAGCCCACACTCCCTGGTTGGAAGATGCTGCACTCAGGGAGCAGCCTGAGCCTAAAGATACAGTGTTGGGGATGTTGCCATCCACAGGTCTAATTTCTTTCAAGAGCTTATTTATTCCCACTCTTTCAACTACACACTTCTCTCTGGATCTCCCCCATCATGTCAACCTTAATCTAAAATCAAATTCATCACCTCCCTCCCCAAAACACAGATTTCTATCTTCCCTATATCTGTTAATGGCACCATTTTTCTCCCAGGCAATTGGGCTTGAAAATGTGAAGTCATCAGTCTCTCATTCCTTTCCCTTTACTCCAAAATTCAATCAGCAATCACACATCTCTTTTCATTTTATTTTTTGAGTCTCTCTCTCTTCTATTGCCAACTCTAATATTCAGGTCCATTTTACCCTGAGCCCATACTTATACAATAGCTTAGATTCACCTTTCTAAATACAACACTGTCACATTTCTGTTCAGAAATTTTCAGCGGGCCCTTTTTACTCACTAAAAGTAGGCTGCACTTCAGGGCCTGGAATCCGCCTAGTCCACAACGTAGTCTTAACCCAATAGCTTTATTCCCTATCGACATCTTATTTCCACCACTTTCATACTGTTCTACCCACTGTCGCTGTATTCACTTTCACTGTTCCTCACTGCCAAACCGCTCTCCTTAACTCTTCCCCAGTAACACAAATTCAATTCTTCAAGGCTTAGGTGCAGTCCCACCTCCCAAGCAAAGTTTCCTTAGACTTCTCTACACTTTGCTTAACTCATGAGCAAATTTATGAGTTGGTAACTCACACTTACTGTCATCCACCTGGCTAATTCAATAACTATTTGTATATAGCTCTGCATTATCATTAATTTTGTCTTAAGGGATTTTTCGCATTTCACACTTACGGTATATATGTGAGCTATATCTTGTCTTCCCAAGTAAAATGTAAGTTCCTTATACTTCTTTTTTTGCCCCACAGTGCTTAGCACCTAGTAGGCACTTAAATATATCATAGAATTTGAGAGGGGGAGCCCTGGAGGTCATCTTTTGCCAACTCCCACCCAGGATGGGAATCCCTTCAACATTCCTCAGAGCCAATCTTCCAGCTTTTATTGAACACTCAAGTGATACTTCTCAGCTACATCACAAGACAGTCTGTTCCACTGCTGAAGAGCACTGTCAATAGAAAAGTTTTCATCAATCTCCCAAATACAGCTGAATGAGTAAAAATGCAAAGGACCAAACAGTATGTTTAGTATGCTTCCCTATACGCATGTACATGCCCAGAACATCTCAGGAAGTGTATCCAAGAAACTGGGGTTGTCTCTGGACAGGAGATGTGGGTGCCTGGGAGACAGAGGTAGAAGAAGACCTAAATGTTCACTGTTAGACTCTTTCATATATTTAATAATTAACAAGTAAAATATGTTTTAAGTTCTTTCTTGTTATATACTTAGATCTTCCTCTGTGAAACTTTTATCTTGATCCTATTTCTGATCTTTGGAGCCACCCAGCATACTCAACTATATTGATTAATTGATTGACATTTTAATGAACTATTGCTAAGAATCATGTAAATACACACATTCAACTGAAGTTCATTAAAGTCCTAAAAAGTAACATATTCTCTGAAATGAGTAAAAATTGGCTCCAATATGTTTTAATATGTCTCAAGAATACTTTTTTTATATACACAATTTCCAAATCAGTAGTCTTAATTGTCTTAAATTTTTTACATAGCCATTCTCTTCTATTTTCATCTATATTAGCATAAGACACTTGTTGCCTAAGGCATTATAATGTTATCTTCTATATTACATGAGCAGCTTTGTGATGTTCTTGACACCTGCAGTGCCCTCTTATTACTTAAAAACCTAAGACACGTTTAGCAGTTTAAAGGATATATTAACAGTTATCAGAATTATGCATAATCCCCAATTTTGAGAACAGACTTGAGAAGATAGATCATTCCTAAATATTATGCAAAATTTATAGAATGAATAAAGATATTCTCTCACCATTATGAATAAGCATTTATCTCAGGAATCAAATAACCTATGTTCTAGTCCTGGCTCTTTAAGTATCTCTGGGCCTCCAATTCCTTCTCCATCAGTGACACAGGCATGGGTATTAGGCCACTCTTGAAACCCCTTCCCAATCTAGCTTTCTGTCTGTTTAGGACATCTTCACTCCAGCAGGTACTCAGATACTATAGCACACATAGTTAAGATTTATAACTACTCACCAAACAAAAGCATCTCTCTTCCTAGGGTATGGCAAGGCTTCCTTAATGTTGGAATCATTACTGGCTCCAGGCCTTCCCCTTGTTATTCACTAAAAATGAACAATTTGGACAGAGATGTTTCACAAGCCTCCTTGTATTTTCAGATGTGACTAATTTGAACTTTAAGACATTGACATCATCAAACTTGTCATCCCTAAACTGCCCTGAGTTTGTTGAGGTATAGTGAAGACTTCAAGCAATGATGACTACTATCACCAGATACAGTATGTATTGTAATTGGAAATTGGTTCTGAAAGTCCCATTAATAAAATTCAGCTCAATTAAATAAGCACTTCTTGAGCCTCTACTAGGCACAAGGCAATGTGCCGGGAGGTGGGGGAAACATTTTGCCCTTTTCCACCCAGCACAAAGAGAAGAAATACAAAAGGCCTCTTTTGAGTAAAAGGGCTGCTTGAGATTACACTGTGCTCATCAAGCATCTGTGTGCCCCTGTCAGTTCTATCATGAGTACTAGATTATAATCTTGCATCTGGAAAAATTTCCTGTAATTCATACCCTTTAGTTCTAGTTCTCAATAACGTCAGAACCAAGTGACTCATGAGACAAAAAAACTACTTTAGTCCAGGCTGGCGATGTGACTCTCTTAGAATGCATTCCCTATCTGCCCTTGGGACACCTGGAAATCTCGCTTTGCCCTCTTATTGTGTCTCAGTTTGTATAGAGAATCAGGATTTTCACATTCAAAGTTTCACCTGTTAGGCACCCCCGGGGGAGTGGGGAGGAATGAGAGAGGGGAGAGGTCATGTTCACTTTTTCAGATGCAGTAGTATTCTAGTCTCCTGGCCAAAAAAAAAAAAAAAGCTATCTTAAATCTCCTTTGTCATTTCTACTGTTCCTGGAGGGCAGAAAGCAATAGTGGAGAAAAATTCCTGCAAATACTTTCCCTTATCACCCTTTATAATTGGAAGAGGTCATAAGGCAATCAAGCATGTGCTTCTTCAGTTATTTCTTGTAACAACAGGTATTTACGAAGCCCCTACATCTATGTTGGGATCTGAAGAATCCAAAAACGGTGAAGACACTGCTCTCTGGAGCCTCATGATTTAATGGAGAAGTGGGGTTTACTTAAAAACCCAATTGAGAACAGCTAAGTGCCAAATCACCTGAAACTGACAATAAAAGAAGGAATCAACTACACAATCTTGGACCTGTAGGAAACCTAGGAGGGATCCAACCCAATGTCTTCCAATAAGCAGAAATCTTCCAACATCCTTGTTAGGGTCATTAAGCTTCTGATTCAACACAGAACTCACATTTCACAAGCACTCCATTTAATCTTTTGAAGCCTCTTATTGCTAAAATGTATCCTATGTTGAACCAAAACTCTCACCTATTTATTATGCTATACAGAATGATTTTCAAAATAATTTTTTATGCAGTGCAATGTGTCCATAAAAGAAATATTGGGCACAAGCCCAACATATAAAGCAGTTAAAAGTGGAAGTCCTCTGTTGGCAGCTGCAGGGGGCTCTCAGGGTGTCCCCTAGTGCCCCCTTTTCCTCCACCCCGCTGCAGCCTTAGGCACACCACAGAATGCCTGAAGCTGTGCAAAGGAAAATTGGAAAACCACTGCTTTAAAAGTAACTAGAGTAAATCTAATTCCAGCTGTACATGTCAGCTCTTAAAGACAGCTATCTTCTCTCTAAATCTTGGATTAAACTTGCCCCTTTTAAATTGTCCATTCTCTTTATGTCATTTTTCCCCATATCTCCCCCATTCTGATCACTTTCCTCCTAAAAATGTAGAAACCATCTCTAAACACAATTATTTACAAACTGTGATCAGCTAAGGAGACTGTCTCTCTTACTCTCTGGACAGCAATAGAAGTCGAAGAGGGCTTAGTGAATGAAGAAGGACCTGAACTGGACCTTGAGAAACACAGGATTTAGATAGGTAGAGAGAAAAGAAGATAAAATTCCAAGCTGGGAAGCCAGCATGAACAAAGACACAGAAATTAAAATGAGCGCCTCCTAACACACTTTGAACACTTCTCTCCCAGACCCTTACTTATTCTTTTCCACTCAGCCAGCTGCTCACTCTCTTATATTTCTTAGAAGAAAATTAAGCCAGATCTTATCTCCATAAATACAGAGTTCTATTGTGTTGATACCAAATGAGGGACATGATCTGATCAGTACTAAAATTAGATTATTTCAATATTATAATTATTGCCACAGGGGAAAAAAGTACTTGATGAAGATGTTTGATAAGTCTGTGAAAAAAAACTGTCATCTTTCAATGAGTCAACATCTTGACAAGAAGATTCATAAAGGTTATAACACTACTGAGGAGCATCCCTGGGGATTCTCAAATCTAAGCATACCCAAAGGACACCTTGCTTCTAAAAAATTATCTTTTGTTTATCATTTATCAAACCACAGGTAATATCTGCCCCAAATGATTCCTGACTGTAAAAACGACAGCATTTTCATATATATATGAATGCTAATCCACCAAGGCAAAACAGCCTTTAAAAACAAATATTAAAAGACATTTTGGGGATAAATAGGTTCATCAAAGTCCATCTTCTTACATTGCTTAATTTTCCCACTTACAGATAAGAATTCAAGCACATCAGTGTTTCACATAATTATTCAAGAAGGAAGATCTTAAAGACCGGGTATTTCTATATATCTTTTTCCCATAAAATGTATTTGTTAATGATTATATGAATATTTCCTATTTTACATTACAGGAGTGGGATTTTCAGACACACAGCACTCACAAACCTGGGAAACTGATCTTGTTCTAAATGTTAATATGTTATCAATCTAAGAATTTTAAGGCATTGAGAAAAAAACTTATCTTACTAGTGTTCAGGGTAATTGATTCAGACATTTTATTTCCATTATTTTCTTTTTCCCTTCATCTCAAAAGGAGATAATCTGAATTGCTCTAATCTGAAAAACAACAATAAGTGTAGCAAATACTTGACAATGAAGATGGAAAGCTTCTAAAAATCTGTTACCTTAGTAACAGCAAGAATGTGGAAGAATAAGAATACACTGTCAGGACATCATTTCAGATTCCACAGATTTGAGGCCTAAATACAGTCAGCTTTCATTAGCTTTTTGTTTTTCCCAGCAGGTCCTTGGACTTTGAAACAAAACCTGAATGACAGCTATGAGCAATTCCAGCCTGGCTCCTGATTAGCTATGCCAAACAAAACAACTCTCTGCAGTGTAAACTTCCCAGGCATCTGCAGCCAAGCCTCTGCAGAGACGATAATTCCTCAGTGAGATTTGAAGGAGAGTCAGAGGTTGGGGGGTAAAGGGTGAACAGGAGGGGGGAGGGGGAGAAAAGAATAAGACCTTCCCCTCTACTCGAACTAGTTCCCTGAACTAGTCTCTGATTAAAGTGAGGAAGAAAATTAAGTAGAACTTGTCCTGGTGCTGTTGCGTTTGCAGCTCTTTAACTCTGCCTGTTCTATGATTTAACTAACCAGTTCTCGAAATCTGAATATTCTATTCCAATTCACATCCATAAAACGTCCTCGTATTCCAAACCACCCACACATTTAAACCAAACAAGTAATTCCAAAACCTTATTATCATCAAATAGAGCAAGCAGTTGATTAAAGAGACCTAAAAGAGAAGGGGAGCAACATATATGAATAGCCAGTGCCCCATATGGATGCAAACTAAGATCTTGTGCCATTTGTTGTCATTCAGTTTCTCTGCACGCAGACCTAAAATTAATTACATCAAATGACAGTGCCCTATGCTGTGTGGTCCCATCTGCTACATAATTAGATCCCGGTGGAACTGACTATTAAGAAGCTTTTTTCTTATGATCAGTCTCCTTGATTCTACATAAAGAACATTCCCTTATCTACACAAAAGAACTAGAGAATAGATCTCAAAGCAGACCGTTTTGATCAGATGCTTGATTTTAAAGTTATAAGTGTTTTCAAAAAAAGGTGTCCGGAGAAAATTCTGTATCAGAGTGTTAGAGGGCAATTCAGCAGTAAAGAGAGGAGTTAAACTAAAAGGTTGACAACCTCTGCCAACAATCCTAAAACTTCAGGAGTAACAATGATTATTTTTATATTTCTTGGCCAAAGAGCAAGATGGTAGCATTGAAATATGCTCTTGTGTTCTGGAAAAGTGACACTTAGCCACATTCTGATCTCTACTGTTTCTGAGATAACCTGCAAAAATTGATGGTTGGCTTACTTAGAACGCTGGGCAACAAAGGTCCTTGCTTTGAGTCAACAACCATTTTTTTTTTTTTAACAGTCTCATGACGATTATGTAGCATTTAAAGTAAGGAAAATAGCTCTAACACCCTAAGATGTAATTTGCAGATATATGGCAACAGATGTCACAGAAAACTTATCATTTACATAACCACACCATAAAAGCCTGGCTTAGATTTAGGACAACACTAAATTTAAGTCTTCAAAAGTTCAAGTGAAAAACTCATGTTCAGACAAAGAGAAGAGTGTACGTAAAGATTCATCAAAAATCACAATAAGGGAGATATTAATTTTGGAAACTAAGAACAAGGAAAATTCCAATGTTTGAGACAGGTAATACCAAACCAGAAAGCCACATTCCCAATTATTTTATTTGACCTGTTTGCAATCTCAGCACTCTATTAAACCATAGAAAAGAACCTAAGAATATTTTTATAACAGATGAAGACAGGATAGTGATATCAGTACAACAGAAAACCCCTCAATGTGAGTCAGTGCTTGAAATCCCAAACCAAACCTGCTGATTCAGCACAAAGTCATCAACAGACTTCTTATCTGTAAAAGGAACAATCCATTGTCTGGCTGAAACAAAGGGCGTGCACAGGAAATCAGCCAAATCTAGGCCAGATGGTCACTGATTCAAGTTTCATTCTCCCCATCCCCCCCATCCTCCCTCGCACTGCAAAAATAGATTCACACAGCATTTTCAGTTACCAGGTAACCCTGACTGTAGGCATAAACCTTTTACAATTACCTACATACCACCACCCACCTCAACACCATCTAATTTACTAAAACAGAACGTCCTTATAAAAAAAATGAGGAAGTTGCTATGCAGCAGTTACTGAAAGAAAAACACCTCTGAAAACCCAATGTCAGTATGGAGTTTTACCAGGTGGAATGACTAAAAATATTCATACCAATTTGTTCTCATCTTTTGTTTTTTCTCAAACCACAACACAAAATAGAAAGAACCCAGAGAAAACTGATTTATCACACTCATTTTCTACAGGTTGACCAGTGGGCCATCACCTTGCAAGAGTCTTGTGGTTTGTAACCCAGAAACACATTTTGCCAATGACAAGCTACCAACGAAAGTAATCACTGATTTTGATTATAAACCAATGTGTCTGACCTTGTATCCGAGAATTTGTAAATTATGATACTGCTGTATATACACATTTCACACTCCTACTGGGTACTGTAAAACTCAGTTTTAAATTCTAAACAGCAACTATTAATTAAAGCAAAATATGCAGAATTATGTCTTAAAATCTGCAAGCACTCTATGAAAACATACATATTAAAGAATGACATAAATAAAAACTCAGGATCTCTTAATAAAAATATTCAGAAAACACCCCTTTACTTCTCCTAACTGTATGAAAGAAAGATATTTAGGTTAAACAAAGGTCTTTTCTCTGATGAGAACTTTTGACTTTATAGCAGTTGCTGGGAAATATTTACAATTATGTGACCTAAGTAAATTTTATCAACCAACAAATAGCAATTCCTTTAGTAAACTTTATAATCCTTTTTATAATTACTTTGAAAATGTCAACACAGGAGTACATTTTATTGGCATGCTACAGTTCCACTTTTCCAAAATTTACATATAGAAAGGTTAGGGTAGATCAAAGAGCTTTTGTCTGTTTGTTTTTTTTACACAAGATAATCACAGGCTGGCAATGCAATGGTTAAAGACAAAAATGACTTCAAAATATGCAATCAACAGCAACTCACACAAATGGCCTGTTTTATTGTAGGGAAGCAGAAAAAGCTGCTAAAGTCAACACAAGGTAAGCTTCCTTAAAAGAACATTCACGGTGGCTTACACAGTGCCAGCAACTGAGTATAAAATGAAGGCAAATTACAGAGCTTCAAATCTTGACCATCTGTCTTAAAGGGAATAGTGATAAGTGAAAACTTTTTCAAAAACTTGTCCTCAGAAATTGTTCCTGGAAGTTGATTTATAATGACAATATCAGACTGAGTTTTAAGCAGTGGTTAAAAATATACTCTAAATATATACACAGTATATAGATATGTGCATGTGTGAGATACATATGTCAGTGTGCTTCCGCTAACTTCAAAAGTTTTTTTAACATCTCAGATTTAACTGAAATGTACTTCTACAACCTGACCTCTTTTTAAAACACTACTGTTTTCCTTTACATAGTACTACAAAATAATACTCAGCATCATACTGGAAATTGTTGAAATGTTGGTATATGTGCTTTTACAGCACATAATTAATTTTCTTTTAATATAAATACACAATCTTAGAAAAATTGCTAATGAGAGAAAATTGATAATCCATTAAGAACCTTTTAAAAAGGGAGCTGTGTATTGGCTGCTTAAGTTTTTTTCTTTAGTGTAAAATAAGGATTTTAGTATTCATGAAAAAAGAAGAAAATGATTATTCAAAGTAAAATCTGCTACCTTCTGAGCTCATCTTTAGAGTCTCTAAGATAAATTTACATTTAAATGAAATACACACAAAGGCAGCTGGACTATCATAACCATCCCACAAACATTAGTGTTTTCAGAGATGTAAGTCTCTAATTCTTAGGAGAGAGAAAATTGTGACTACATAATTATTTTTATCGGTCGGTTTTATTTATACATCATTGCAATAGGATTTATATGCTAATGCTTTAACTTAATATAAGAACTAAGGGAAAAGTATCTCTAAAGAGATCAAAATAGAATTCTACTAATAAAAGTCAACTTAGAATAGATTTCTCATGCTCATAAGTTTCTGGAAAACCAGATTTTAAATAAGATACAAACAAAAAGGATATCAACAATAATAAGTGACAACATGAATGTAAGGGGTTACAATTTAGCAGACTAAATTATGATCTTGTTCTTTAATAAGCTCTAATATAAAGGAGTAAGAGAGTTTAAAGCTAAAATATTATTGCATAAGTAGTGAGTTCTAGCTATCCTTTAAGTTTTTTCTTTTTCTTTCACTAACATGTATCTTCCTTTCTCTGGTGATCCACAAATCAGGTAGAAAATTTAATTCCATTCAATTCAAAGAAAATTTGTAAAAAGACAACATATTTATGATCAATATGGAAATGATTAGTCTTACTATTTTTTACTACCATGCATAATGAGAAACATATATCAAGGGCCAAATTAGAGTATGCATAATTTTCACTGATGAAAAATTGATGAGAATCCAAATTGCTAAAGAGTGAATTGTATTTATGAGAAATTGCTTAACGATTTATGCTTTAAATGTTTATTATTTCCAACATAATCTATGTGCACTAGTAAAATAGTAAGGTATTAAGTAATCTCATATGACTGTAAATGTACTTTAAATATAGACTGAAGGTCAAAATAAGTTTTCATTCATTTTCTCTCTAAATAATTTCTCATATCTTAAATTTACCAAAGAACATCTCAAAAGGAGCTTATTTACTAAAATTAGCTTCTACTCTATAAGACAAAAAAAAGATATGAATTGAATAGTGATCAAATTCATATGCCCCTCTCAAAATACACATGCCACAGTTTCGATGTTATTTATAGATAGCTTAATGTCCATGAAGTGTCACTAACAAACTCAAGGCTCATACCGTGATTTCCTTAACATCACCAGCACTGTTTCAAATTTTACATTCAATGATTCATGAACAAAGTCATAAACGACTTCTAGTTTAAAAAATGAAATGGACATTAAATCTCCATTAGATAACAGTTCAAGTAAATTCTTTTATAATTTTGGTATTTAGTAACAGAACAAATGATACCCTTACATACCATGTTACATAAATCTTTTACTATGTTAGTAACAATTTGAAGAACATGGTTTAAATAAAACTAGATCTGAATTTACAAAACCACAAGCCACATAACTGTGTTTTAACTAGACCATAAGCTTCCCCAAGGTCACGGATAGTTCTTTATTTTCCTTTCTCCTTCTCCACAGCACCACTCCAATTATAGGTACTTGATAAGAACTTACTAAGTTGTTACTGTTAATTTCCTGCCCAATGGAGAATTCTATTATCCCCACTGGATAGAAACTTCTTGCCCAGTAGGAAAACTATGAAGAGAACAATTATTTTTAAGGAAGTGACAAATGTATTTGATGCATTTTATCCAAATGAAAACTGAGAGGATGCTTGATATTATAATTGCTGTTGCCAATTATTACTTCAAAGCCTTAAAAAAAAAGTCAGTACAGGTTAAACACAAACTTTACTCTAAGATAGAATTATGGTGTCTGTTTGCAATGTGTGAACTTTAGCTTCCCAAGGGTAAACACCATACAGATGTCTGGTAACCTCCCACTTAACAGGATCTAAAGTAAGCCCACACTGTTTTGGTTTTGGAAGTCTCGTCAATTTAAAATCGAATAAGCAAAATGAATTGTAACATTTATACAAGATATTTGTCACATTTTTCAGAACACTTTTTCCAGACTATCAATTCCATGGTTTTATTCCACTATGCAGTATTATCCTGAAAATATATGGCTTTCAATTATTTTTTATTAACTAGGATATTTACTGGCAAATTTAAAGCCCGTATCACCTACATTATGTAAGTAAATTGGTAAGTAAGTAAATTTGATGATAAACTGAACATGCACGAAGGATTACAAATGCATCATCATTTTGTAAAACTCAAAAAGAAGAGAAAATGACATGTATTTCCTTTCATCTCTGCCACAGAATTGTTCCGGATTTATTTTTCTTTGTTAGCATCCTTTATGCAAAAGATAACGCTACTGACCTAGCTTCCGAAAGGCCTGGGCCTCATCTTGGTATTTCTAGTGGAGGTGATAAGCTTATGTTGTTCCATCTACCCTCCCTTTTCCCAGCTCCTTTGGAGTCAGAGGCTTAGATCTGACAGAAGTTTGGCTCAGGTTAAGGATGGGTTCCACAACCATGGAATAAAGCTAACAGGACCATATAGGGGTCATTCATTCATTCATCCACAAATAATTATTGAGGGGCAACTACATGCTTTTTCTAGGTGTGGAGATAGAGTTGTGAGCAAGAGAGACAAAGCACTTCCAGTCATGGAGCTTTCATTCAAGTCTGGGGAGTAAACCTAAGACTTAATCCCCACTACATTCCTTACCAATCAAGATATAGTCTCCGTACAGTCTGTTTCCCAAAAATAAGGTACCAAATGGCCCCCTGGTGGTCTGAAAGAGTTAATATGCCCCTTAGCACCTATCTACACCACCTTCAGCAAGAGCAGCAACATTTGCCTCAAATTACCTTTCTGGATAATAAAAAACATAAGATAAATTCCTGACATCCAGATCTTACAATCTATTTGAGTCACAAGACATGTACCCAAGAGTATGACAGAGGAAAGAACAAAGGCTTTGAAAGCAGACAGCCCTAGGTTTGAATTCTGACTTTTCCACTTATTACCTATGGCTCTGAAATTTACTTAAAACTTTCTGAGCCTTAGTTTTTTTAGTTTTAAAAATGAGAATCATGATGCCTACTTACAAGCCTGTTGTGAGGATTAGAAATGATGTGTACAATGCCTGTAGTACTGTACATTAATTTTTATTAAGTGATTGGATTAAATTATTAATTCCTGCTATAAATTAAATTATTAAATAGCAGGAAAGGACTAGGCAGAGAAGCATATATGAGTCAGGACTAAGCAGAGAAGCATATATGAGTCATAAAGGCCTTTATGGTTGTTCTTTATTAAAGGCTATGTTTTGTGCAGACACACATTCTCTGACATATAAACACACTCTCTGAAATTCCAGATATGCAACTATGCCATGTATTACACTGCTCCATCACAGTTGCTGCTCTGGAGGCAGAAGTTGAGATAAGGCATACCACTGACTCAGGATTCTTTATGATGGCAAAAAACCTCAAACATTTAGAATATCTGAAATACCATAACCCAGACACTACACTTCCAGACTCCAATAGAGCTTCAGTAGATTGTACAGACAGTCCGTTTAATACCTACTAATATCAAACAACTCCTATACATCTTTTGACCAAGAATACTATGCAAATATCATACTAGTATTAGCTTGTTCCATTTATATGAATAAGGAGGAGAAAGGTGATTTTTACATGGTCTAACTTTTCTAGAAAACGAAGAACTTGGTAATATTAGTTGGGAGGCAAAATATTTAACTAATTGCTGCTCTCTGATAAAGTCTGAGGCCTGTCATTCAGCAAGTCTGACGAGGAAAAAGAACCAACTTTTCCTGGAGGTCTATTTGTACCGGCTACATACTTGGTGCATTGATCCATTATCTCAAAAATGTGACTGTTTTGGAATCAAACGATGAATCAACTGTCTTAGAGTCAAAAATATACCAAGAGTCTCAGAGGAAAGAGTTATCTGTTCAATTGAGATTTTATTTTTTAAATAATATATTAGATTGATTTTGTATTATAAGGTAATGAGCCTGCCAGAGAATGAAGTTATCGTCACATCAACCCATGAAATGATACAATCTGTGAAATTATGCATAAGAGAATGTAAAAGAAACATTCCTTACACTAGTCCTAAGTGAGATGCTGCTGCTCATAGCTACTATTACTAGCAATATTACCATTACTCGAATTAATAATATTATTAATCTACCATGGCCCCTTCACTGTGCTCCAACTTGTGAAGATACAGGTCTACCCATTTTCTATTATGCCAAGACCTTAACCTCCTGCTCCAACAATTCTCAGGTGATTATTAAATCACCAAAGTAGACTAGAACAGCTACCTGGGATTCTCTATTTATTAGACGAACCCTGACTCATGTGGAGAGTTCAGTTCCAAGAGGTTTCTCTATCAGCTATGGCTCCAGAGCTTTGATTAGTTTATGTTTCACAAGAGAATCAAGAGATCAGAGCATTTAAAAAATAACCATTTAAAAAAAAGTGCTGCAAATCTAAACCTTATAGGGAAGATCTTCATATAATATTTGTTAGAACTCAAACCAAAATTTTCAGGTTTATTTCCAACAAATGAAACTGAGGAAAAGTATTGTGGAAATAACCTTACCATCATCCATCTCCATCTCCAATATTACAGACAGTAGCATGATTTTTCAAAGAATTGCCAACCAAATACAGACTGTAGATTGTCAGTTCTGTAGAATGTAACTAATCAGTCAATACTTTATATTTACTATGTACCCAACACTGTCCTAGGCATTTTAGAACATACAGATATAAAACGCCATAGTACCTCCTCTCGAGGGGCTTACATGCCCATATTCAGAAAAAATGCTTTTTGAAGTAATTAGCAAATACATACGTCTATAATGAAAATCTAAAACTGTGATATATAAACTATGAATGCTATAGAAGTTTAGAGTAAGAGAAAATTAATGAAAACTCCAGGATTTAGTATATTTCAGTAAAGGAAATAAACTAAACTAGACCTCAAAGCAGTGGTTCTTCAACTTTACTGGGCACGAAAGTGGCCTGGGGCCTACTCCTAGGACTCAGAATCTGCATTTAAACAGCATCTCCAGTTGATTCTGATAAAAGTGGCCCATAGTTTGGCTAACTCTCTGTTAAATAATAGATATGATTTGAAAGAATCTCTAGAGTAGTGCTGTCCAACAGAACTTTCTGCAATGGTGGAAATATTCTATACCTGTGCTGTCCAATATAGTAGCCATTAGCCATATGTGGCCATTAAGCTCTTGAAATGCAATTAGTGTGCCCAAGGAACTGAATTTTTTATTTTATTTAACTTTAATTAATTTTATTTTAAATAGCCACAGCCAGCTCTAAAGAATAAGAGACTGCTAAGAGAAACATGAGCCAAGCCACAGGTAGGAATGCACATAAGCAGGATACATAGGCAGGAGAGAAAATGGATTGGCCTGTCCAGGACAGAGGTTTTGTATTAGATTCCCATAAGGTCAGATTATGAAGGGCCTTGAAGGGAACTGAGGAAACTGGATTTTGTGGCACACATTGCTAGTTGTCTAATTGAGCCTTTTCCTGATCTTCTTCAATATTAACAACCCTAGAGCTTTTGCACTCAGAGAGTGGACCTTTCCCCCGGATCTGGGGTAAACCTTGATTATTCTCTACCTATCATGGTATTTCCATTTTCCTTGTCAATGACTGGTTTACACATGAGCATGTGGTAAATTCTGGTCAATAGGATTTGGAACATCTATGTACGTGGGTCAACTCTTTAAAAAGTGTTTAGCCTGAAGAAAAAGAAGCTTTTCCTGACTCCAGTCAAAGCCATGTGAGGCTTGAGTATGCTGCTGATACCTTGGGATAATGAAGAGACAAGATTGAAGACAAACACCAACAAGCTGAGGATGGCAGAGAATGACCAGAAGAAGTTGGGTCCTTGATGACACCATCAAGCACCTGAATTAACCCAGGAATTGCCCTCCCCCTCTTCCCCTCAAACATTTTGGGTATATGATGAATTCGTTACTATTTAACATCTTTAACTTTTTGTTGTGTTCCATGCAGCTGACAGCATTAGACCAGGATACTAATGTTTAGGGTGACACCCTCTGAGAAACTCTGAGGTAGGCAATTGGTAGCCATTGAAGGCATTTGATCAAGGATGGAGGCTGATATGAAACAATGTTCAAGGCTTAAAAACAACATGCATGAAAAACAGGTCAGAAGAAAGGAAAGGTAGAGTCAAACAGACCAGCTTATAGGCCTGAAAACCAAAGTCACGAAAACATTTTGGAAACATCAGAAAAATATTATTAGTATGTAAAGTCATTAATGCACATAAATTAGTACTTAAAGCAAAATTAAGGAAACAGTTTATTTTGTAAAGGTAGTAGGATTGTAAGTGATGTTTCTTTTCTGATTTTTTATATTGTTCTCATGTTGTTATTTCTACTTAAAATTGAAACAAATTAAAGAAAGTATAATTTCTCTAAATGTATATTCAATATTTTTTTGAAAATGGAAAAATTCTTGAAATATGATTTCTCTGTATTAGTGTAATTAAAGATATGAGAAGACACTGAGGAACAATATGGTAAACCAGCAAGAATACAGGACGAGCTGGGTGACCTTGGGAAGTCAAGCAAACCCTGTGGCATTGTTTTCCTCTCAGGGTGGATTGATCTACGACTCTAAAATTCAACAGCTTCTGTTTTCAAAGAAAATCCTTTTGAATTAAAAAAGTTATATAACTGATATCAAAATTTAATTTTCTAACCTCTGTTCTCACCCTGTGTCATATTAGCCAAGTCTGAAAGAGAATAAAAGTCAATCTCCCTCAAACTCTCTGAGCAAACCGGAAACTCTGGGAAATGTTTTATAGCTTTAATATAAGTTTTTAAAAAAGTTTCTGCATAGATTTTCAGTGAATAAACAAACTAGTTCTGGAAATTTTAATGTGGATTGAAGTTCTATATTAATATCAAATAGGTGTCAAGTGATAGCTTGTTATTATTTTTAACTTGCATTTCCAAACAACAAATAAAGCCAAGCATTTTTCATATTTATTGGCCATTTGGGATTGTGCTTCTGTGACTAACCTAGTTATATCATTTGCAAAATATTTAAAAATTATGTTTTATGAAATATTTTTATTATCATTTTGTTGAGTTCCCTATATATCAGAGGGGGTTATCTTTTATCTGCATATGTAGAGATGTTTTTCCAATCTATCAATCATCTATGGTATTTGTTTATGGTTCTTTTTTCTTCACAAAAAATGTTTTTAAATTATGCAACCAGATATGTCTGTCTTTTAATATAGCTCTGGTTTCTTGTTTAGTTAAAATAAATGTCCTTCAATAGAGTAACGGTTGTTGAACTGTGGAATATGTATACTGCAGAATATTATGTAGTCATTAAAATGAATAAATAAGAGTTATACCAGTTGTCTTAGAGGTATATCCTTTGTGTTTTATTAAGTACTAAATGAAAAAAGAACGATGATTTTATATATATATATATATATATATATATATAGATAGCATATATAAGATGCTAAAAATATACAATATATATAAGGTTACAGGATCATGGAAAAAGTTCTAACAAAATAAGTAGCTGATTGGCCACATTGTTAGGGTGAAAGGGAGGATAAAGAAGGAATTTAGCTTCTCCGAACTTTTTTAAAAGACATGACTATAGTTTTTTAAAAACATAATATGATCTTATTATGTAAAATTATTTGTGTTGGTGAGTATATGTAAACATGCATAGAGATACATAAAAGAATGACCACCAAAATGTTAATGGTGTTTACCTTAGTATGGTTAGATTTCAAGAAGAAGGGAAGAGGAAAAAGAAAAGAAACAAGAGGTTAAAATGAGACAGAGAGAGAAAAAGAAAAAACAAAACATAATTTAAAAAAAATCAAATCAGGGGCTGGCCCCGTGGCCGAGTGGTTAAGTTTGCGCGCTCCACTGCAGGCGGCCCAGTGTTTCATTGGTTCGAATCCTGGGCGCGGACATGGCACTGCTCATCAAACCACGCTGAGGCAGCGTCCCACATGCCACAGCTAGAAGGACCCATAACGAAGAATGTACAACTATGTACTGGGGGGCTTTGGGGAGAAAAAGGAAAAAAATAAAATCTTAAAAAAAAAAATCAAATCAATTTAAATTCACCCTTTCCAGAAAACCAGAGGGGGAGACAGGACCCTCAAGTGAAAAGGTTCCCCCATCCTCTGATGTGGGTAAGAACTACTGTAACAGTCTTACAGTTCCCTGAATACTCCAACAGAAATATATACATAAACTTACTTGAAGTAGTGTCGATTTAATCAGTTTTAAAGTGCAGGAAATAAATGTGACATTATAGTAATTACATGTTGTCTTCACACTGTGACCTCCACAGGCAGTGGTGACAATTTTAGGCACACCTGCTCTATAAGAGCCAAGTTTATAGAATGGTAAATGTGAGGAGTGGTTCTAAGACTTTTGTGTCCATAAAAACCACCTAGGAAGATTGTTAAAATGCACATTCCAGGGTCCCACCCCAGAAACTCCTATTCAGCAGGTCAAGAGAGCAATAATCCGCATTTAACAAGCACCCCAGGCGAAGAAGGCAGGTGTTGACAGATCACACTGAAAAACAGTGAATTTAAGGAGGTCTGATCTCTTTACAAACTGCTTAACCAAGAATTCAAGGAGTGTGGCACACTAGAGAGAACAAAGAATTCTGAAGTCGAAAGATCTAGATTACCTCTCTGACCTAATCCCCTACTCACTCCCTCACCTGCCTCTCCCCTCAGCACACCGGCCTCGGTTGTCCCTCTCACAACAGCCAAGAAAGCTCTGACTCTCAACTGCCAATGGAGCAGACTCTCACGGCCCTCAGGTCCTCACTCAGGTGTCACTTCTCAGTGACACCTTGTAGAGAATCGCAACTCCCTTCTCACTTTCTAATTCCCCTTTCTGCTTCATTTTCCTCTCTAGCACTTCTCACTCTCTAAAATACATACTTTATTCATTCTCCTTTGCTTACTGTTTGATTCCCATAAGGACAGGGATATTTGTTAGTTTTCTTCGCTGCGGCCTCCAAAGCACCTGGAAGGAACAGTGCCTGGACAGAGTTCAAGGAAATTTCATTCGGCTTGAGAGATTCAGTGATAGGAGGCAGATACAGCCAGTAAGTGGAGAGCTTGTTAACACAGATTCCTGTGCCCTGCCAGAGATTCTGATTCAGTAGGCTTGGAGGGGGCCCGAGATTCTGAATTTCTATCAGGAACTCAGGTGATACTGATGCAGCTTGGAGAGTTGTCATGTGCCTCTGCTCATTTTGTAGAGAAAGTCAACCCATTCTACTATGTGAGCAGAGCTGCAGACTAAAAAGGGAAAGCTTCGTTATACTCGTGTGCATTTGTCGGAAAAGTTGTTCCTATGTACCTCTATTCTCAATGTGCCTAAACTTTCTACCCAAATAAATAAATGATTCTACAATAAGTATATTTTCAAGCAATATATCATGAATATTTACCGCAACCTAATTTTTAATTAAAACATGACTTGTTTCCAATTTTTTACTCTTATATACAATGTTTCAGGTGATTTTTAAAATATACTTTTCTGCATTAGTGTGATTATTTCTTTCTAACAAATTCCTAGAAGTGTAACTTCTGAGTCAAAGAGTTTAGACCAGCACTGTCCAATAGAACTTTCTCCAATGATAGAAATGTTCTATATCTTCACAGTCCAATACGATAGCCATCGGCCACATGCAGCTATTGAGCACTTGAAATGTGACTAGTGTAACTGAGAAACTGAATCTTTAGTTGTATATAATTTTAATTAATTTAAATTTAATAGCCACATGTGGCAAGGGAGTACTATATTGGGCAGGGCAGGTATAGACATTTAAAGTCTTGATACATGATGCCAAATTGTTCTCCAGAAAAGCTGTAATTATTTGCCTTCTCTCTTAGTGTATAACAATAACTATTTCTTTAGCCCATTGTCAACACTAGATATTATCGATCTATTGAATCTTTACAATCTGAAAGTTGAAAAACATCTGTGTGGTTTTCACATGCATTTCTTTATTAATAGTGTTGAACAGGGTTGTTTCTTCTGTCATCATACTCATTCAAATGCCAATATTTTCACCCTTGTTAATTAACTGAGAGGTTGGAAATTACCTGGCTTCCAGAGTTGTTTTGTTGGGTCCATATGTTTTCTCTAAAAATTATTGCCAACATTTAAATTCATATAAAACATGAATTTCCAGCTCCACTTTAAAAATCAAATGATCTGGTAACAGTGACCCACACTGCCACAGGACAAAAATCAGTGAAGCCTTAGAAATTCTGCCACTTCAGACTTTCTTGTCCACCAGAACCCACTATCCCCTATTATTTTACAAGTGTCCTGCTTCTCTCACTCAGATTACCTGCTTGGCCCCTACAGGTACTTGAGTTTACAATTCCAGCTCTCAATTAAATTTTGAGAGCTTAAAAGGCAAGCAGCAGCTAATAATAATAGTAAACTTTCATTTCACACTTAGCATGCAACAGTTATGATACTTCTGGATTATTTTATAACAAATATTTAACTAGTAGAAGACCACTTTTCTAGTGGTTGTTGACATTTCCTACTCCCCAGAGCAGTGGTTCAGTATCAGAAGGGTTGGCAAAATGCAGATTGGTAGGCTCCACTCCCAGAGTTTCTGATTGAATAGGTTGGGTTGGGCCCCAACAATTTTCATCTAACCCCAAGCTCGAAGTGCAGCTCTACAGTGAGATGAGGTTTTCTCAAAGGTATGGACACTCCTAGAAGTGTAGTGATAATGTGTAGTTTTGATAACACAATATGAATTTTTACACTTTTTTCCAAAACATATCCACATTTATTATTTTATTTTATCTTCACAACAATCCTGTGCAGAAGGTTGATAATTAAACAGTAATTGTCAATCACATTTTACAGAAGAAAAGTAAGGCATTAAGCATCTCTCCATAAACAAACACACAAGAAGAGCCAGAACAAGCAGGTTTCCTAACTCCTAACCTGGGTAATATAGGCAAACACAGCAATCCAGGACACAACTGGAGCTTGCTTCTCCAGACTGGTACCAAAAACCAGAACCATGCCCAGGAACAGAAAAGACCTATACAAGATACGGCTCACAGCAACCAAACATTTATCAAGTGCTGATCATGTGTTAACCTATGCTAATCATGCCTGTAGTCTCGACTGTTGGGACTGTTGAAGACACTCATAGAGCATAGAGAAAAATTAAAAATAAAATCTGAAAACACAACCTTGCACAGACAGTGAATTCTCTATTTTATAGACATGACAAAAGCAAAGACCCTGAAGGGGTGGGTGGTAGAGGTAAAGACAGAGTTGGGTAGAAGAGAGGAGTCGCTGTGGGAGCTTCACATCTGGACTTGGAGGAGCCACTATCACCAGTCAGTCAAGAATGGGAGGGAAGGAAGAGTACACAATAGGGAGCCCTCCTGGGGCTCAACAGCACAAAGAGCTGCTGTTATCCACACTGGGTGTGTGTTTGCCAGAAATATCAGGGCTGCTGGAACTCCAGAACTTACAAGGGCATGCTTTTGTGTCATCTAAATTACCTTGACTACATAAGAACTCAAGTCAGAGGGCATAACTTCATTATCCATTTGTAGCCGAAAGATAACATGATCAGGGATCATGAAACTTTCTCTGATTTTTTCCTCCAAGTTTTGATAAGCTTTCCTAGTAAAAATCCACCAAATTGTGATCATAATGACGTTAATTATAAATCGGCCCTTCAAGTGGAAAAAAGAAAGGACTGCATTTTCAGTTAAGTAGAATTGACAGATATGACTAACTTTAACAACTACTTTTCTAAGATTTAAAATAATAATAACTAATAAAAACTACCACAGGCTGAGAATACAAGAAAACTACAATTAATTTGAAAGAGCCTAGAGGAAAATTTGATTCAGTCCTCATTAGTGTTGTAACTGACCTGCCCTAAATGCCCATCTTTTAGTCTAGTTCAATATGACTGAAGCAATGCAACTTCCACCACTATGTAGAAAATTGTAGCAACAGGACTGAAAAAACTCTCTCTCACTTTATATAAGACCAAAGAAATATAAATCAAAACAAAGAGATACAATTTTACACTGATCAAATTAGTCACAAGAATATAAATGTTTAAAAATAACATAAGCACACATATAGATTGTTAATGACAGTATAAATCTATATAATTCTTTCGGAAATTACCAGAAATCTGGAAATGTCCTAACAAAAACTAACAGCTAACATTTACTTGTGGTTTTACGTGTTATCGCTTTTTATCTTGTAGAGAGCTATTACTATACCCATTTTAAAGATTGGGAAGCTATGGTTCTAAGAAAATAAGCTACTTGCCCAATGTTGCTAATAAGTGATGGAACTAGGTTTTGAACCCTGAATCTTTTTTTTTTTTTTTTTAAGATAGGCACCTGAGCTAACAACTATTGCCAATTTTCTTCTTCTTTTTTTTCTTTTTCTCCCCAAATCCCCCCAATATATAGTTGTATATTTTAGTTGTGGGTCCTTCTAATTGTGTCATGTGGGATGCCGCCTCAACATGGCCCGATGAGCGGTGCCATGTCTGCACCCAGGATCCAAACTGACAAAACCCTGGGCCACAGAAGCGGAGCTCAGGAACTTAAGCACTGGCCACACAGCCGCCCCCGAACCATGAATCTTAATTTTAGAGCCCATTAATAGCTACACTAGACTGCCTCTCTAAGGAAACAATTCTAAGGAAGCTAAAAAGAATGAATAAAGTTACATTCATGAGGACAGACATCATATTTTTTAAAATTACTGGAAAATCCCAAAATAGAGGAAGAGCTAACTAAGTTATGGTACCTTAACCAAATAAACTACTATAAAATGATTACAAATAATAATAAGTAAACTACAGAAAAATGTTTATGAAAAAAGTCAGAGTAAAAATGTATCTGCAATGTGACAAGACATCTGTAAAAATATATACTCACAGTACAATTGGGAAGGGAGCTATAAAAAATAAAAACAATTACCATTTTAGAAGAATTTCACTGCTAGTACTTAATTTTCTTTTGTTTTTGTCATTTTTGTCAATCAAGATTAAACAATAAGAAATTACCATCCCAAACAATTCCTAAAACTTCACTATAATTTATTTATATTACAAACATTAAAAATAATTACACAGTTTTTATTACAGACCTATTCAAAATAATTACATAGTATTCTTTATTGGTAATTCTGAAGCTTTAAAGTATGAGATCGCCTTCTTAACAGCAATGATTTTTGCAATCACCACTTAGAGTACTTTTGAAATCCCTTAATTGAGTTCACATATAATGACTAAAATCAGCCAATTCTCTTTACTTTCATAACCTTGCAGTCACTCCTCAGCTGCCTGAACCCATCCAGGAATCCCTAGCCCAGAGGTTGCAGGTGTTTTAGAGATTAGAAAAGTTTCCTACTAAGAACATGATATCTAAGCGAATGCTTATAAAGTAACTAAAATATCTTAGCTGTAGGGATATTCATATTCCAAATAGTTTTGAAAATTACTAATCAAATTATGTCGTCTCTTTGAAATAGGTAAATGAATTGTATTTCCACTTACCAAAAAGAAGAGTTTAAGAGTTATTTCCCTAAAAATGGCACCATGAGCTATAAAGAAAATTCACTCTCCTTAGCCATACAAGGTGATGCACAAAGGCCCATTCAGCACAGGATTGGTCTCCACCAGTAACATAAACAGTCATTTTGTAGGAAAGTGAAGTAGCTGTTCTCCAATGATACCAACCTCATAAGAGCAGGAACGTAAACATCTCTAACTTCCTCTTTATGAGTCTACCATTCAGGAATTTTTTCTGTCACTCCACTGTCTAATATCCACAGGTCCAATTGGGTGTTCCTTAGCCAGTCTTGGGACACCTATAGATTTACTATTTTTTTTGTTAAGATTTTATTTTTTTCCTTTTTTCTCCCCAAAGCCCCCTGGTACATAGTTGTATATTCTTCGTTGTGGGTCCTTCTAGTTGTGGCATGTGGGACGCCGCCTCAGCGAGGCTCGATGAGTGGTGCCATGTCCGCGCCCAGGATTCGAACCGACGAAACACTGGGCCGCCTGCAGCAGAGCGCGCGAACTTAACCACTTGGCCACAGGGCCGGCCCCTATAGATCTACTATTTTAATCACAGAATTTTGGAGTTAGAAGGACCCTTAGAAACCGTGTAGTTCAATTCCTTAATTTATCTGAGGTGGAAACAAAATCATTTCTAAGAAAGTTACTTCATTTAGCTAGTTTATAGCAAATTCAGGCCTGGAACTAAGAGATGTAACTAAATGTCTTAAACTTGGCCTTCATATTTCTCCCTTACCACTAAAATTTTTATACTATGTCATGTCAACGGGAGTACACATATGTCCTTTCATGTCTCCAGGTATACGCTGCACTGGACAGAGTAAACTATAGTTCTCATCCTCTGCTTCTTAAAGAGTTCCAAAATGGAAGAAAAATTCAACAACGATTATAAAAACCAAGTGTAGAGAGATCGGCGATGGGGAGGGGGCGGATAATACTTTAATAGTTCTGCTTTCCACTGAATACTTGTTCTAAGATTTTTAGCACTTGATCTTCAACTGTAATAAGTGTCTGCTTTAAGCCAAAGAAAAGGTTCAAACGTCATCATGAGTGGATATCAAACTAATAGACATCACCATGGATATACAGTTGTCTTATATTTAGTTTCTTTCATTCTTTATTTCTATAGCATAATTCCATTTTAACAGGAGGTCTATGGCAGGTTGTACAAGAAACTGACAACAGTGGCTGCCCCTGGAGAGGGGGACTAGGGCATTGGGAGCACCCGGGTGAGAGAGAGGGCCTACTTTTGTTTGAAACTTTTACCCTATGCATATTACTTTTCAATATTCATTAACTTAAAAATTCCCTTTAAATCCACGCCTATATCCACACAATCCTATTACTAAATATTTTCAATGAAACATTTTTAATTTCTTCTTTTTTAAAATAAGCTTCCAGTATTGCAAGTTGTAAAACCACATAGAAATTTTCAGAAAGAAAAAGAACCAACACAGTCGCAAAACTCAAAGCAGAATTCCAGGATTTAAAACATAAGAAAACGTACAGAAGAATGAGAGGTTTTTTAAAGGGAGATTTAACTCAAAACCCTTTCGCGGAAAAGCTCTTCCCCGTATTTAAATTGCTAGGTTTTAACATGAGATTTAAGTGGGATTTTCCGTCTCAAGGGGGAAAAAAATTCTAATGGTGTGAAAAGTAGAAATTAAAATTTGGTTTCTATCTTCTCAGCAGGGGCCAGGGGGCCAGGGCGGGGCGGCGAAGGACCTCGTAACAGGTCGCCCGCGGAGGACCGGCGCGGGGTGGAGGCGCCTCTGCAAACCCGCCGCCGCGGCCAGGCAGCAGCCGTCCCCGAGCAGACGCGCGCTCTGGCCCCGCCGGGGCTCGGCTCACCGAGCAGCCCCACGCACCGAATCCGCAGAGCGTTTCTTTGACCGGAGCTCGGAAGAGGGACTGAGAGAATGGCTTTAACAAACCGCCTCATCACCCGCCTCGTCCAGCCAGGGCACACGCCTCACCTCGCCGTGTACTTGTGTCAGGGTCAGCTGTCAGCACAACCCTTTGTGTCTCATTCCGAATAAGAGTGGTCCTCAGGCACTCACAGAAAATGGAAACGATGGTCGAAAGACGCGCGCGCGCGCTCGTGACGAAGTGACATTTGGTGTGGAGACAAGAGCCCCGTGGACATCGAGCAAACGCCCGGCCGCCGCGGGCCGCTGCCAACTTTCCCAAGCCGCGCTCTCTCCATCCTCCCGGGTCCCCCGCGCGCCTCCCTACCTGCCGTCCACGCGCCCGCGAGCCCCTCACAGCCGCCGGGCTCGGAGGGACCGGTCCCGGGCGCCCCCCGCCGCCGCCGCCCTCATCCCACGCTCCGGCTTCCCAGCTCCCGCCACAAAGGCAGCGAGGAGAGCCCCCAGGTGACAGGCCTCTGGCCTCCGGGCGCGGACCGCACGGGCTGGGTCCCCTCGGGGAGCTGGCGCGAGGCGGCGGGGAGGAGAACAGGCTCGGCTGCGGGGTGGTACAGGCGCCCGCCCTCGCCACACGAGCCCTCTCGCGCTCCCAGCCCCGCTCCGCCTGCCTGCTCCTCCAGAAGAAGTGAGCCGCGGCTTCCCCGCGCAGGCAGGGTGTCCCCAGCCCGCCACAGGGCAGCTCCGGCCGGGCAGAGGCGTGCGCTCGCGCCGGCTCGCGACCTCTCACCTCCCCGCCTCCCGCGCCCGCGCCCCGGAGTCCCCGCAGCCGCTCACCTGGCCCTGGCGGGGCGCGAGGGCAGAGGACCAGGGGGTGGCCCTCGCCTGGGCCGGGGCTCGTCTCCCCACCCCCAGTCCGGGTCCCCGCGCTGCGCTGCGCTCGCTCCGGCTGTCCTCCTCCGAGGTGCTAGCGCCGCCGGTGGCTGGCGTCTCTCTGGCAGGCGCGCTCGCCTCGCGCTCAGGTCCCCGGGGCGGAGCGAGGCGGCTGCCGCCGCGGCCGGAGGCGGATTCCTCAGGTGCTGCCCCTCCCGCTTCCCCAAAGCCTCCGCGGAGGAGACCCTCGCGCCCCCTCCCCTGGCCGCCTCTCCGCCTCCTGCCGCCTCCGCGCCCGCGAGTGGCCTTGGGGGCTCCCTCGCACCCCTGGGTGCAGCGCGCGCACATTTCCCCGCCCGCCCCCTCCAAGGACGCCCCCACGCGTACCGTGGAGCCCTCAGTCAGCTGTGTTCACGCCTCCGTGTCCACACTCCACGGCGCAAATGATGCGTGTGGCCACTGTGGGGTGTGGAGGGGGTCTTCTGGGAAGGAGAATTGCCTCCCAGCGCGGCTGACGCGCGAAGCCAGGAGGAAAACTTATTTTCTCGTCGATTGCGCTTTCATTCACGGAGGGCTCTCGCCTCTTTGCACGATTGCTTTCCCCGTCACTGGACGGCGGTCCAAGGGCCCTAAGCGTGAACTCGGCCTGGGCGATGGTGGGTCAAAAACCCTTGGCCTTTTGTATTGACGGGGGATCGCGCGGGGGCAGGACGCGGCCAAAACCAAACAAACCCGGGAGCTCCGGGCCAGAGCCAACTTTTGCACGTCCTGGATGAGCACGGCCTCCCGCCCCCGGACCCCGGCCCGGCGCTCAGGGAGGCTGCCTGCTTGCCAGGGCTGGTCCCGAGTCTCCAGGACCAAAAGGGATCCTCCGCCCCAAGGGCAGCCACTTCCAGCGGGCCGTGGGCCTCGACGGGGGCTGCAGGGACAAACATTCTCGAGAAGTGTTGTGGCCCGGTAGTGACAGATTTCGCTCCACTTTTCACAGCCGGTGGTTTTTGTTATTAGAGATGCAACTCTATTTTTTAAACTGTCATTGATGCCAGAGATAGGCGACTAGACTCCTTTACTGGATTGCCCGCAATGGAAGAAGCAGCTCCACGCTGGATGTGGTGGAAGAGTCTGGGTAAAGAAAAGTTGATCTGTTTTTAGTGCCTTTGGGGCAAGTACAGCCCCAAGAAGCTCAGCGTGTTCGTAGAAGTGGGGAAGCTACCTCGGCTCCCACTCCCGGGGTGGGGGTGGGTGGTTATTATTCTATTGTTGATATCATTGTCAATTATGGTTTAAGGACAGCTTCAGTTAAGGTAGATCTCATAGGATCTCTAAGTCAGTATGTTTTGTTTGTCTTGCCTTTTTTCTAAGACCCGAAATGCATTTTTTTCCCTTCTCTTTTGGTCGATACAGACAGAATTGACTGGAAGCCTGGAATCACCAGAAAATAACTCAAGGCACAGCTCAGTTGTGACTAGCAAAAGTAAGCGATTTGTTTGTGGTTTGGATTGTCTTCTCTCCCTCCTCCCCTGGACAGACGTGCTCAACAGCGATTTTTTTTTTTAAAAAAAAATCATTTTGTTCGTTGTGGGGATAAAAGCATAAATATTTTTCTTTTTGTTTTACAACTGAATCCTTTTTGTCTTTAAAAATACACGCAAACAGTTTAATGTGCCATGAGGGCAGGAAACATGGCTTTCTCAGTCACTGCTGTGTTCCCACAGTTCTGGATCTTGCACACAAAACAAGCTTAGTGAATGAAATCAATATTTTTTAAATAACTACAACATAGAGAGGTGTAACTGATTAGCAGTATAGCTCAACATATCGAAAAGGAATCCGATATCAGCTAGTAAATGCATCTTGAGAACTGGCCATATATGTGGAAAAGACAGTAAGCAGAAACCGGAGCTTTCAAGTTCACCTCCTGCATATAAACTAAGCTCACAAGAGGTTAAAGCAGTTGAGACTCTTTTGAAAAGCCCAATCTTTCACAAGCTCTGTTGAGTTGGGGAGGGAGATACCCTCCATTTTAAAGATAAGGAAACTGGGAACAATGAGCAGCCTTAAAGTAAAACTACAGTGCAGTTTTCTCTGTTGAGTTCAAGGACCATTGTTGAGTGCCAACACACTAGACTCTGGAGATGTGAAGGCAAATTTGGCACAGTTGCTCAAGGACCTTAGACTAATATTACAGGACCCTGGTATTCATTCTTCATTCATTCAATAAATATTTATTGAACACCTACTGTGAGCCAGATGGTGTAGTGGGAACTGGTGATTCATCGGTAAACAAGACAAGTCCCTAACAAGGTTAAAAGTTAGTGATGGTAATCTATCTGTATTCTGGTAGACTGAAAACGTTTTAGTGTCTCCTTTATTAGATAACACACTCCCTTGCCCTGAATTTATTTGTGTATATGCCTTGTCTTCCCTTCAGGGTTTATATATCCCTCATTATGCCCAATAAACTCCTGTGATTATAAAATATGATGGAGTTAAAAGTGAATGCCCTCGAGTTAGGCCCCATAGTTTTCAATCCTGGCTCCAAGATTCACCTATTTTGTAAGCTTGACCAAGTTACTTGACTCCATCTTAGTGTCCCCATCTGTAGAATAACGTCATAATGGCACATACCTCAGGGAATATCTATGCAGACTGAGACAATGCTTAGTGCCTAGCACACTATAAAATGTTATCGCTATCATTGTCTGTGAGTCCTTCCACTTAACAACGATTTCCAAATGCTTCTCCATAGATACCTCACATTAGAACTCAAGTTCGATGAAAAATGTGAGACTCACGGCAGTCATGGTCTTTATAAATAATAGAATCCTTCTGAGTAGTTATTGTGAAGATCCTCTGTGTCAGCAATGGGGCAAGTTCTGTGATTACAGCGTGGTTTTGCTCTCAAGGATGAACGTCCTTTGCATTAATTTCTGTGGCCCTTGGCTCCACACTCTGGAATGCTCTTCCTGGTTCATCATCCTCCATGGCCACATCTGAAGTGGGCATTGGGAAGTAAGCCCTCCTTGGAGACTTCATAGTAATCACAACCCATTTCCTGCTGGTATAAGTTTGGGGTCCTGAGAGTTCTTTTACGCTTAAAAGTTTTTTAAGGGGCCGCCCCATGGCCAAGTGGTTGAGTTCACACACTCCACTTTGGTGGCCCCGGGTTTCACAGGTTCCGATCCCGGGCGTGGACATGGCCCCGAGCATCAGTCCATGCTGAGGTGGCGTCCTGCATGGCACAGCCAGAAGGACCTACAACTAGAGTATACAACTATGTACTGGGGGGCTTTGGGGAGAAGAAGAAGAAAAAAAGATTGGCAACAGATGTTAGCTCAGGTGCCAATCTTTAAAAAAAAAAAAAAAAAGTTTTCAAAGGCCAGTCTTGTGGCTGATCTGGCCATTCAATTCCCTCAGACACTTAGTAGACTTCATATTTATTTGCTTCCATTGAGTTCCATGAGCCGATAGTCTCACCAAAGTTCTTTCCTGGGCATAGTATCAAATACTTTATTTCTTTGCTCCCTCACTCTGTTCCTTTTTCTCTCAACTTAAGGTTTGAGGCTTGGTGGCTCAGCATCCTGTGCACCATAACCGTTACCTCCTATGAGGAAGAGGAGGTACTACTTTCCCACTCAGAGCCAATTCACTGGAGGGGAAGACCAACTTCCAACCTACCACCCCCAACCTCAGAGGGTAAGACTCGCTGTGGGGAACTGAAGAGTGGTCTCCCTAATTCCAGATGAGATGCCTGTTGTGAATGGTGAATGATCTAGATCTCCAGTTATAAATATGAGCAGATAAAAAATATCACTAGTCATAAAGAGAGAATCCACCATTTGAAAGAAGAGGACCAAATTAGAGCAGATATCACTTAATAAAATGGAGTTAATGAAGGAAATAGGAGAAAACTTTTTAAAAATTTCTTGTTCATGTTCTAAGTGAAATTTAAAGAGTGATAAGGGCAAGTTGTCATGAAAATGGAGGCATCTGAGAACCAAAATGTCCTGGGAAATTAGAAGATACATGAATACTTAAGCTGAAAAGACAGTTAATAGAAAAATAGATACTACTAAAAACTGAATTAATGAATTATAAGACCATCTCAAAGAGTGCTTCCAGAGCAAAAAGATAAATAAATAGAAACTATGAAAGAGAAGATAAAAGATATTTAAAAATAGGTCCAGGAGATCCCATGTTTGTATTTTGGAAGTTTTAGAAGCAAAATGGAGTAGGTATTGTATATTAATATAATTGTAATATACAGTTTCTATTTTGTAGTATACATATTTTTTGTATTATACAAAAAAAGATATTTGTTTACTACAATGCATCATTAAAAGAAATTAAAGAAGACCTAATTAAATGGAAACACATTGTATGCTGTTGGAGTTGAAGACTTAACATTGTTCAGATGGCAGTACTCCCCAAATTGATCTATAGATTCAATATAATCCCTATCAAAATTCTAGCTTCTTTTTTTCCCCAGAAATTGACAATCTGAACCTATAATTCTATGGAAATGCAAGAGACTCAGAATAGCCAAAGCAACCTTTAAAAAAAAAGAAGAAAGTCAGAAGACTACACTTCCCAATGTCAAACCTCATTACAAAGCTACAGTAATCAAGGCAGTGCAGTATTGGCATAAGGATAGACATATAGATAATGGAATAGAATTAAGAGTCCAGAAATAAACCCATGCATCTATGGTCAGTTAATTTTCAGCAAGAATGTCAAAATAATACAGTGGGGAAAGAATAATCTTTTCAGCAAATGATATTGAGATAACTGGATATCCACATGCAAAAGAATGAATTTGGACATCCACCTTACAGCAGATACAAAACTTAACTCAAAATAGGTCTTAGGTATAAGGTAAGAGTTGAAACTATAAAAATTCTTTTTATAGAGTTCTTTGACATTGGGTTAAGCAATGGTTTCTTAACATGACACCAAAAGCAACAAAGGAGAAACTAGATAAATTGATTCACAAAGTTAAAAACTTTTGTGCATCAAAGGACAATATCAAGAAAGTGAAAAGACAAACCACAGTATGGGAGAGAATATTTGTAAATCACATATCTGATAAGGATCTATTATCCAGAATACACAAAGAACTCTTAGAATACACCAATAAAAAGACAAATAATCCAAATGAAAAAATGAACAAAAGAATTTAAATAGACATTTCTGCAGAGAAGATATATAAATGGCCAATAAGCACATGAAAAGATGTTCAACATGATTAGCCCCTAGGGAAATGTAAATCAAAACCAGGAGGAGATACCACTTATCCCAATTAGGATGGCTATTAGCAAAAGAAAAAGAAAAATAAACAAACAAAAAACCCCAGAAAATAACAGGATACATACAATGGAATATTATTCAGCTTTAAAAAGGGAAGGAAATACTGACACATGCAACAGCATGGGTGAAACTTGAAGACATACTAAGTGAAATAAATCAGCCACAAAAGGACAAATACTGTATGATTTCACTTATATGAAGTACGTAGATTAGTTAAATTCATAGAGACAGAAAGTAGAATGGTGGTGGGCCAAAGTGGATGGGGGAGATGGGGAGTTATTGTTTAATGGGTACACTCAGGGTTAGGCTTAGGGCTAGAGTTTCAGTTTGGGAGTGAAAAAAGTTCTGGAGACGGATGTTGCTGATGGATGCACAGCAATGTGAATGTACCTAATGCCACAGAACATACCTGTAAAATGATTAAAATGGTAAATTTTATGTTATGTATAGTTCAACATAAAACAAAACCTCTAAAATTTTTTTAAAAGATATAATAACAAATGTTAACAAAGATGTGGAGAAACTGGAACCCTTCTACATTGTTGGCAGAAATGTAAAATGGTGTCAGTCGCTGTTTGGCAGTTCGTTAAAAGTTAAACAGAGAGTGACATCAGCATCATGGTGGAGTGAACTTGCCTGAGACTCTCTCCCCTCCAACATACAACGAAAAAGGGCATCCATACTCCAACAGAGGACATCCTAACACAACACATCCTAACACAACAAAAATGTCAGAAAGACACGCAGCCACACGACAGAGGGCGGAGAGGCTGGAGCCCCCTTCAGAGGAGCTGGAATGGGGTAAGAGAGAACTTCGCTCCCTTCTCTAAAGACTGCAGTCCGCAACCGTGGGAGGTTCCATGAGAGGAAGAACTGGAGAGGGGACTTTCGTTCATGGGAACATCAAGGACTCCCTAGGGTCCTTGCAGCCTAGAGGGAAGCCCTCTACTGGGGCAAAAGCTTTCACGGGGGGGGGGGGGGGCGACCTCATCAAGCCAACACCCCTGGAGACCAGAGGTGAGAACAGAGCAAGAAAGCCCAGAGAGCATGCAGGAGAAAGTGCCCCTCCCCCCACCTGCCCCACACTGCTCCAGTACCTGGGATCTCTGCTGAAGGCAGAGGGCTCAGATGACCCGGCTCTTGACCTCCACCCAGTGGTGATGGGCAGTAACTGAAACCAAATAATATCAGGATGCATAAGATCCAACCCACCTCTAGCAACATCAAACACTATATCAAATCTCCAGACTAGAGACAAAATGACAAGTGCCCAGAATTCAGTCCTGAGGACACAGATATATCTACTCTAAATGACAAAGAATTCAAAATAACTATCATCAAAAAACTCAACAAGTTAAAAGAGAATGTAGAGAAACAATTCAATGAGTTCAGGAGCCTCTTCACAAAAGAGATTGAAACTATAAAGAAGACTCAATCAGAAATATTAGAGATGAAAGACACAATGGAAGAGATAAAACAAAATACGGATTCCATGAATGCTCAAGTGAACATTATTGATGGGGCTGGCCTCGTGGCCGAGTGGTTAAGTTTGAGCACTCCGCTTTGGCGGCCTGGGTTTCACCAGTTCAGATCCTGGGTACGGACATGGCACTGGTCATCAGGCCATGCTGAGTGGCATCCCACATAACACAGCCAGAGACACTCACAACTAGAATCTACAACTATGTACTGGAGGGTTTTGGGGAGAAGAAAAAACAAGGAAGATTGGCCACAATTGTTAGCTCAGGTGCCAATCTTTAAAAAAAAAAAAAAACCCTACATAATTCAATGGGTAGACCAAAACACACAGGACAGGAAACAAAGGAAATGCAGGAGAACAGGAAAATGAGTGATAAAATGACAGCATTAAGCCCTTATACATCAATAATCACCCTAAATATAAATGGATTGAGTTCTGCAATAAAAAGACACAGAGTGGTGAGATGGATTAAAGAACAAGACCCAAAAATATGCTGCCTCCAGGAAACACATCTCAGCTCCAGTGACAAACACAGGCTCAGCGTGAAGGGGTGGAAGACAATACTCTAAACTAACGGCAAACAAAAGAAAGCAGGTGTTGCAATACTTCTATCAAAGTAGACTTCAAGATAAGACAGCTAAAGAGAGACAAAGAGGGGCAGTATATAGTGATCAAAGGGACACTCCATCAAGAAGAAATAACACATAAATATCTGCGCACACAACACAGGAGCACCAAAGTTCATAAAGCAACTATTGACAAGCCTAAAAGAAGATATTAATAATAACACAATAATAGTAAGGGACCTCAACACTCCACACACATCAATGGATAGATCATCCAGACAAAAAATCAACAAGGAAAAAGTGGAATTAAATGAAAAGCTAAACCTGTTGGAGTTAATAAACATATATAGAACACTCCAACCAAAAACAGAATACACATTCTTCTCAAGTGTACATGGAACGTTCTGAAGGCTAGACCATATTTTGGGAACAAGGCAAGCCTCTATAAATTTAAGAAAATTGAAATAATAACAAACATCTTTTCTGATCACAATGCTGTAAAGCTACAAAATAATTACAAGGAAAAAGATAAGAAAGGGACAAAGATGTGGAGACTAAACAACATGCTATTGAACAAACAATGGATCACTGAAGAAATTAAAGGAGAAATAAAAAAAATCTGTAGACAAATGAAAATGATAACATACCATATCAAGTCATATGGGATGCAGCAAAAGCTGTATTAAGAGGCAAATTCATCACAATACAGGCACTCCTTAACAAACAAGAAAAATCCCAATAAGCAATCTCAAATTGCACCTAACTGAATTAGAAAAAGAAGAACAAACAAAATATTGGCAACCTGAATACAGCAATACTTCAAAAAGATCATACATCATGATCAAATGGGATTCATACCAGGGACACAGGGATGGTTCAACATCTGCAAATCAATCAACGTGATACACCACATCAACAAATTGAGGAATAAGAACCACACAATCATCTCAATAGATGGAGAGAAAGCATTTGACAAGATCCAACAGCCATTTATGATGAAACTCTTAACAAAATGGGGATAGAAGGAAATTACCTCAACATAATAAAGGCCATATATGACACACCCACAGCCAACATCATACTCAATGGGCAAAAACTGAATGCCATCTCCCTGAGAACAGGAACAAGACAAGGATACCCAGTATCACCACTCATATTCAACATAGTACTGGAAGTTTTGGCCAGAGCAATTAGGCAAGAGAAAGGAAAAAAAGGAATCCAAATAGGGAGTGAAGAAGTGAAACTCTTGCTGTTTGCAGATGACATGATCTTATATATAGAAAACCTCAAAGAATCCATTGGAAAACTAATAGAAATAATTAACAACTACAGTAAAGTTGCAGGGTACAAAATCAACTTACAAAAATTAGTTGCTTTTCTATACTCTAATAACGAATTTACAGAAGAGAACTCAAGAATACAATTCCATTTGCAATCACAACTAGAAGAATAAAGTATCTAAGAATAAATGTAACCAAGGAGGTAAAAGACTTATACAATGAAAACCACAAGACATTACCGAAAGAACTTGATAATGACATAAAGAGCTGGAAAGAGATTCCATGCACATGGATTGGAAGAATAAACATAGTTAAAATGTCCATACTACACAAAGCAATCTACAGATGCAGTGCAATCCCAATCAGAATCCCAATGACATTCTTCATGAAAATAGACCAAAGAATCCTAAAATTCATATGGGGCAACAAAAGACCCTGAATTGCTAAGGTAATCCTGAGAAAAAAGAACAAAGCTGAAGGCATCACAATTCCTGACTTCAAAATGTACTACAAAGCTGTAGTGATCAAGACAGCATGGTACTGGTATAAAAACAGGCACACAGGTCAATGGAACAGAACTGAAAGCCCAGAAGTAAAACTGCATATCTACTCACAGCTAATCTTCGACAAAGGTGCCAAGAAGATACAATGGAGAAAAGACAGTTTCTTCAATAAATGGTGTTGGGAAAACAAGGCAGCCACATGCAAAAGAATGAAGGTAGACAATTATCTCACACCATACTCAAAAATAAAATGGATTAAAGACTTGAAGATAACTCCTGAAACCATAAAACTCCTGGAAGATAAGATAAGTAGTACACTCTTTGACACTGAACTAAAAAGGATCTTTTTCGAATACCATGTCTTCTCAGACAAGCAAAACAAAAGAAAAAATAAACAAGTGGGAGTTCATCAGATCAAAGAGCTTCTGCAAGGCAAAAGAAACTAGGATCAAGACAAAGAGACAACCTATCACCTGGGAGAAAATATTTACAAACATTTATCTGACAAGGGGTTAATCTCCGCAATATAAGGAACTCACACAACTGAACAATAAAAAAACAAACAGCCCGATCAAAACATGGGCAGAAGATAGGAACAGACGTTTTTCCAAAGAAGATATACAGATGGCCGTTAAGCGCATGAAAAGATATTCAACGTTATGAATCATCAGGGAAATGCAAATCAAAGCTACACTAAGATAACACCTTATGATGGTTAAAGTGGCTATAATCACTGACTAAAAATAGCAAATGTTGGAGAGGGTGTGGAAAGAAGGGAACCCCCACACACTGCTGGTGGGAATGCGAACAGGTGCATCCACTATGGAAAACAGAATGGAGATTCCTCAAAAAACTAAAACTAGAACTACCATATGACCCAGCTATCCCACTACTGGGTATTACCCATACAAGTTGAAATCAACAA